CTAACAAATTTATTAGAGCATAAGCTTTCGTGGGCTACAGCATCCGACGAAGTGGGCTGTAGCCCACGAAAGCTTATGCTCAAATAAATGTGTTAGTCTCTAAGGTGCCACAAGTACGCCAGTTCTTTTTGCGGATACGGACTAACATGGCTGCTACTCTGAAACATTGATTCATAGACGCCTGGGCACTTAGAGATGGAAAGGATGGGCTCGGCCACCCAGTCAAGGTCCCCCTGTGGGACTGATTCGCACAACTGCCGTCTGGAGGCTGTTCCCCAGAACAAGGGACCTCAGCATAAGTGTAGTTTGACTTTTATATTTGGGGAGGGGGCAGCTTCAGTCAGGCCAATGGGGCCATGCATGCCTCAGGGGTAGCACGGTGGGTCCGGGGGCAGCGTGGAGCGGGCAGGGCCCGGGTAGGCGGCGCAGCCCGGGGGCGTGGGCCGCCCGCCGGAGACACGCGGCGGAGAGGGGCTGCGGGGGCGAGACTTGTCCCAGGCGGGGCGGCCGGCGGACAGGGGTGAGGAGCCGGCCGGGGTCCCCCGAACCGATAAACTTCCCCGCCGCTGCCGGGGAGCCCCACGCCTCTCCCGCTCGGCTGCGCTCCAGCGGCTCGCCCTGCCGGTGGCGGGATGCGCAGCATGTGCCCGGGGCGGGCTGGGGGGTGGGAGGCTCCGCGGGGAGGGCAGCGCGCATGGCCGGGGCGCTGTGTGCGATCTGGCGGCGCGGCTAGGGCCTGCTAATGCCCCCGGCCTCTGCGAAACTGCTTTTTTTTTGCTCCGCCGCCGTTTTTTTTTTTTTTTTTTGGCCGATTTCCCATCCCTGCCAGGAGCACCCAGAGACATGCCAGGGATAGCTGGGTGCTTCCGGGGAAACGTGTTGTTTCAAGTAGTCACTACTATTGACACTGGGTTTCTGGTATGATCTCAGTTCCCTGAACTTCTATAAACAGAAGGAAGGGGGACGCAAAGAGATTTCAAGTTTGTCTTCTTCAGGCCACGTCCCTTCATATGCAGTTATTGACTCACTTCAATAATAATTTTGCTTTCCAGAAACAAGCATTTCAGCAAAATAGAATACAATCTTTGAACAGAAAAAGGGTTGCGAATTCTGAATCCGTGGGTTTTATTCCAATGAATGTTCATGAATATTTTTGGCAGTATTTGCCCAGTTCTAGTTAGTATAGAAATCGTCCTCAGATTATCATCCATCAAGCCACGCTTCTTTAAAGAAAACAGCAACAGTGTCAATTTCTGCCTGTGGATGTGAGCAGATGTCTCCCATTGAAATCAGTGTGAGCTCTGGGCTTACATGTGATGACAGTATTTTGGCCCATCATTTACAGAAATGACACGACAACGGGGTATAACTGCGGGGACCAGCTGCTATTGTTACCTAAGGGTGTTGGGCGTGGTTGGAGCGTTCAAATGGCCACCCTTCGTAGAACAACACAGCCGGATCTGAATGCTGATCCAGCAGAGAGCTGCCTGAGATCTGAATGCAGAGCAGAGCAGAGAGCAGCATGTAGTAGCTAGGAGCAGACTTTGCTTTGTTAGGTGAATAATATGCTAAGAAGAAAGGCGTTTATTTGCTTAACACAAGCTTGTGTTAATGTGGAGGAGCTTACAGACTAAATAGATAAGGCAGACTGAAGAGGCACTCATCTCTCCAGTGCCTCCTGGTGGCCGGGTGTGGTATTTCAGTCCTTCTCTTACACCTGGTACCTCCACCAGGCTGCTGGCCGACCTTGGCGGGTCTTCAGTGGCTTGGCCCTCTGGTCAAGTCACAAAGTCCCAATGAACTCCTTCTGGGGTATTAAAGAGTCCAATAAATAAACAGTCTATTTGCCCTCACTAAGATCTAACTAACTAGTTGTATCGGCCCTTGTCTACTTGACGTGAGTAAAATGTGCTTGTTGCAGGTATTTTCTAAGCTGCCACCCATCTTGTGCCCAAGCACCCAATACAGAGACAGGCGATGGATGATCCATCACTGTCTAAGCTAAGGTGGTCAAAGCTGGTCAGAGCTCATGCTAGTTTGATGCTGTGTATTCAATAATGAATTTTGTTGCCTCTATCCCTGACTGTTATGTGGTTTCTAATAAACAATGAACAGTTAGGGTTAAGTATCTCTCCTGTTCAGAGAGAGGAGTGGCTTTACAGCTTCCCCACCCTAGCTGATTCCACATGTTTTAATCTGTGGGTCTCTCTGGAGGACCTTTCCCCCTTTTTCAGTAAAGCCCCATTATTTGGCTGTATCTGTTTTCATAGGATTACTTCATTCCATTTCCAGCCATGCTCTAAACTGCCCAGCACCCTGAGTGTCTGGCCAGGCAGGGCCCCTTTACAAATAAAACAATAATAATACACTAGTCGTCAGCTTATCCACCAATATTTGATGACATCTTGCTGACCCAAAGGACATTCATTTAAACATACGGTGCACGCTCTCAGGGCCTCAATCTTATTGCTATTAAGATCCCTTTATACTTCCCCGTTACTGACTCAGAGAAACGAAAATCCTGTCACTTTTACTCTGCTGGTAGCTAATAGGGTAGACATCAAGGCCACTGGCAGAGCTACTGCTCCAATGCTAAGTTTAGTGCTTTGTTAAATACGGGAGCTGTATCATTTAATTTTCAAAGAGCTCAGCCAGACCACAGTAAGCACCGCAGAGTGACCAACTCTACATGAGAAAGCCTGAGGGAGCCGCTGGGTCCAGTTTTCTAAGGGATCTTTTGGGGGTCTAATTGGGGTGGAATACGCTCACCTGCAGCTTGTTTGGGCTCTGCCCGCATTTATAAAAAGCCTCAGATTAGAAGCTGGGGGGCAGGGCCGGTGCTACCATCTAGGCCAACTAGGCAGTTGCCTAGGGCGCCAAGATTTGGGGGCACCAAAAAGTGGCGCCCCCAATTTTTTTTTTTTTTTTAACAGCGGCCGCTGCGCTGGGAGGGAG